AATGGGGGCTGAGATTAGGTCAGCTGGGCTGCCCACAGAGGCCCAGAAGAACTTGGGTCTGGCTGGGTTTCCTGCTCTCTAACGTGCCAGGGCTTCTGGCACCTTCCCTCCTGGCCTTGGCCCTAGCGGGCTCCCCCGGGCCCTCCGCCTTTCCCAGGGTCTAGGCTCCTGAGCCCCAGCCGTGCTCCCCGCCCCCACCCCCACCCCCGCCATGTCTCCCCCGTCTGTACAAGGGGGCCACCGAGGCCCAGCTGGGGGTGTGGGTGTAGGCAAAGGAGGTGCCCCAGGGCATAGGGAGTGGGAGTCACCTTGCCGCCCCCCCCAGCTCCCAGGCCCCATCTGGCAGGTGAACGTCAGCCTCCTGTCCCCTGGGTGTGTCCCCCCCCCCAACCTGGACATGCCGCAGAATCCTCTGGGCACACCAGTCCCCCAGCTCCGCGTAGTTGCCCGCCAGCTCCTCGTCCGCCTCCCCGAGCTGGTCCACCAGGTTGAGCAGCATCATGGGCACTGCCATGGACTCGGAGGCCAGGGCCCCGGGGAGACGGGGCCGGCCCAGCCCCGACGGGTCCTCCCGCACCCAGTACACGATCTGATCCATCATCTCCACCGCTTCCTTCTGGGAGGGGAGAAAGGGAGACGAGGGGAGGCCCAGGCCGAGGCCGCCCCCCTGTGCAGTCTGGTCCCTCAGGTCCTGACCTGGGGTGGGAGAGCCTCGTCCTCCCACCCGCTCATAGGACACCTTCACCAAGGGCCTACTCTGGGCCCGGCCCTGGGTTGGGTGCTGGGGGGCCGGGGTGGATCTGCCCCACCCTGCCTCGGGGGGCTCCCAGTCTGTGGGTGCAGGCCACTCCCAGGCAGTGAGGTCGGGTGTAGAAGTCCAAGGGGCTCCAGGGAGGAGGGAGAGCTCCCTTCCAGCCAGAGCCGGGTGTAGATTGGTCTCTCTGTGCTGTGTATGTGGAATCAGAGGTAAAGACTGCAGGGAGGGGGCACCCCTCACAGTACAGCACAATGAGGGGGGTGTTGCCAGCAGCCCTGGGGCCATGGGGGCCCAGAGGACGGATTGACGTTGGCAACAGACCCAGCCTGCAGACAGAGCCCAGGGAGGAGGCTTGCACACAGAACATGAATGCATCAGGTGGCCATGTCCAGCTCAAGTGAGGGCATGGAGACTCATAAGGAAGCCTTCCTCCCACACACCTGGTAATGCGCTTCCCCAGTCACCCGCCACAGCTCGTTCATGGCCATGGTGTAGAAACACTCGCTGAAGATGGTTCGCTGCACCTTGACCGGGCGGCCGTCCCGCGTCAGCGCAAAGGCGCACTTCTTTCCGGGAGGTGCCACTCGGGCATAACGCAGCAAAAATTCGCCACCTGGTGGTTGGGAAGTTGGCACGCTAGAACTCAGGTGAGGACGCCCCCTGCCCCCGCCCCCCGCCCCTTCACTGCTTCTCAACCTCCCTAGGAACTAGGGTAAACTTGGAGGTGCCTCTGGGGACATGGGGACACGGAGGGGGCACCTGCTTTAGCTGAATCCAGAAGTTCAGGGCTGCGGAAACGCTCAAGTTTTCGGTACAGGCGACAATACATCCACACCTGTGGGGGAGTAGAGGGAATATGGCTGAAGTGGGGAGCAGCGGGGGTTCTCAGGGCTGGGAGGAGGAGGAGTCCTTAGGCGCCCCTGTCATGGGAGGAGTAGTGTGGAGATGACCGGCCTCGTGCGTGCAGACTGAGGACAGGCCCAGCTGACTCCAGCTTCTGCCTCTGGGAGAGCTTCTAGCCTGGGCACATCCCATACCTGCCTCCCCTGCAGCCAGACATACTTGAGGTCATCGTACACCTGCCCATCTCGACCAAGGCATGTGAAGAAACCCCTGTGGGATGCACAGTATTAGCCAAGGGGGGAAGGGGCCTGGCATCCACCGGATCCACTGCTCTGCTGGGCTCAGCAGATCTGAGTCAGCTGACAGTGAGGTGGGGGCTCAGGAGGGGCAAAGACCCCTACTGAGGGCACCAGAAGGGCGAGGCGCACCCATGCTCTTGGTCGTGAGAGTGCTCCATCCAGAAAGCCACCACACGGTCCAGTTCCTGCTCCACACGCTCCTTCCAGGTCTGCAGAGCCTCTCGCTCCTTTTCCATGTCCTGGGGGAACTCGGGACTTGGAGACACAGCTTCCCCACAGATCTCCCCACCTTCCTAGGTTCCAACCTCCCCAACAGGCTCCTCTGTGCCCCAGGTCACCCCACACTCCAGTGGACCCCAGGGCTGCCTGAGCCATCTCCCCTGGGCCCCCAGGCCTCAGAACCCAGAACTCAGGGTTCCCCACACCCTTGCACGGAGCTGTCCTCTGGCCCGGCCCGGCCCCAGGACTGACCCCACGGTCCTGAGAATCCTCCAGGATAACACCCTCCCCACTACGGGCCCCACCACTGGCCTGCCACACTCGGAGACCCCCGCTCATCCTTCCGTCTCCTCCAGGAAGCCAGACAGAGCTGGTCTTGGCCCCGTGACTGTCACTCAGCTGACCCAGCCGCGCCCCACCCGCCCCCTCCGCCCGGAGGTTCCGCTGAGTCTGGGGGCGGGGCTTGGCGGTCGCACGGCTCCGCCCCCGTGCTCCGGCACCGCCCCCACGCTCGCTGGCCAAGACCCTTGAGGCGCAGAGCAGGGCAGAGCTGCAGCAGTGACCACTGCTGGGCGCACTCGGCTCGAGAGCCTCCTGATGGGAAATGCTGGGTGAACTGGCAGGGCGCTCCGGGGCGGGCAACACGGGGCTGGCCCCCGCACACCTGCTCCTCCCAGCCACCTCTCCCCCCCCTTGAACTGAGTTGGGGGGAGTGGCGGGGGAGGGGCCTGGGCAGGGCAGGGCTGCTGAGGGTGGTGGCCCCAGCTCTTGCTGAGGGGAGGTCCTGGCTTTGGGTCCAGCGGGGCTCATACCCACCCACCCACCCACCCTGCTCACAGAGGCATGTCAGTAGTTCTGGTGTATCCCTTCACGCCCAGCCTCTCCCCCTGCTTTTCCAGCACTCTGTCCCCCTCATGCCTAGCCAAGGACAGGCCTTTGGTATGTGGAAGGTTCTAAGGTTCCTGTGGGTGAGCACGCTGGCCTGGGCCAATCCCGAGGCAGAGAACTGGCACCTCGAGGCAGGTGAGCGCCACCCAGCCATCTGACACATGCCTGGCAGATCTGCACAGGCCCCCACCCCTCTGGGGCCAGCCCCACATGGACCCTTTTTACCGGCTGGCTGGCATCCTCCCACCCCCAGCCATCGCTCCTACTGCTCCAACTTGAAGGGCATGTGCCCACCCCCACTCCGACCACTGGGTTCCAAATCAGATCAGAACTGCTGCCATGGGGAAAACAGAGCCATGGTTCCTGGTATCAAGATCAACAGGACAGGACCCAACATGAGACACTGTGAACCCGGTGGAGTGAGCACCAGGGAGAGGCTTGCCCTGGGAGGCTTCCCAGGAGAGGTGGCCATGAGCTGGCTTGGCGTGGGCACACCCCCCCAACGGGCAGAGATGGGACGACCGGATGAGAGGGTAATGAGGACATCTCCCCATGCCCCTCGGGTCCCTAGCACGAGCACCAAGTCACAGCACGGCTCCTCCTGGCCACTTGGCACGAAGGACTCATCCCATCCATTTAACCCTGGCTATACCACCCACGCTAGCGATACCACCACCAGTTGGACTGCCGGAGTTTGCTCCATAGCAGTTCTGCTCCTCTTGGGAGCCTGACTCGTGTGCACGAGGGAGCCAGCGGCGGGAGAGGAGTCACTCCTACAGCACCTGCTGAGCCTCAGACACGGGGACCACCCCGTGGGCGACCCAGGTCTGTCCTGGGGAGTGCTCTGGGGACCTGAGCGCTCAGTGGAAAGAGCCCAGCTCAGCCCTCCCCACCCGTCCGAGGAGGCTAGTGGCTGGTGACCTGCCAGTCCTGTCCCAGTCCCCTGTCCTCTGGGTGGGGAAGGGAGGGAAGGCGATCTGGTCTCTAGACAGGGACTTGGCAGCAACTGCGCAGGGAGCCCCTTGGCCTCTAAACCATGGCTACCGTGGGACCCTTTGTGGGGAACCAGGTCCTGGCCCAGCTCAGTCCCCAGGACCGTGGGCCTCGGTGGAGCCTTGAAACTTGGGAGGCAATCGGGAACCCTGCTAACTGCCCTTTGAGCAAGAGGCTCCCAGGGGTTCGGTGAGCCACGGGGGTGGGTGGTGGCATCACACCTCCAGCCTCCTCCCTGGGAGTCCTGGACACAGTAAAAGAGCAGGTGGTTATTTCAAAAAAAGTCTTTTAATTGTTCAAAATAGCACAAAACGACATCGCACTATGGTAATATTGAGTCACGGGGGTTACTCTACAATAGATGAACGGGGCGTACTGTTCTCAGAAATGAGAGAAATCAAAGGGCGCTCAGGAGAAGGGACAGGGAAAACAACAGGACCAGGCGAGTGGGCTCCAAGGTGACTGACTAAACGTGACATTTTCCACAGCGAAATATACTATAATACAACAAACCAGAGGCCCCAGAAGGTGCGGGCCAGTGGCAGGGGTCTGCAGAGGCCGGGCCCCTCACTGCAGCTCATCTCCAGGGCAGAGATGGGGGGGTCTGAAAAGATTGACTGCTCGCTTTAAATCCTTCTGCACAACCCGCTGGCAAGCCTTGCTCAGTGCCTAAAGCTTGGGTGTGGGGCAGAAAGCTGTCTCAAGAGCCACACTAAGAAGTGCCCCAAGCCTCCCAAATTCGGCCCTGGGAGGATGGCCGTGGCCCTGTAAATTCACAGAACTGGTGCTGGTAGCCTGCTGCTTCCCCACGGTCTCTCCTGGGTGACACCACACATCTGCTCTCCCAGGCTGCTCTCTGAGATGGGAGTTGCCCCCCAACCCCTCACCCCACCCCTTTTGACACTTTCGCCTGGAGGGCGTGGCTGCAGGAAGCAGCAGTTGAGGGTGGCAGATACTCTAAGCCAGTTTGCCAAGGAGGGAGCCTGGGGGCTGGGGGGGAGGGGGGGTCATAGGGAGGGGGGTGGGGAGGATGTTGAGAGCCCTGCGAACCCAGCACCTGCTCCTCCTCAGAAACCTGACTTTAGGCTCCAGCAGACTCTCAAGCTCAATCCTACAGGTGTAGAGCAATCACCCATGGGGAGTGAGGTTTGACAGCTCACCCCTCCTTTGTCCCAGAGGCCTGGGGACAAGCAAAGGGGCAGACGGCAGGGGCCAGCAAGAGGAAATTGGGCCAGGCAACCAACACCAGGCCCGCAGGGGAGAATCCACGCCTCTCCTGTGCCAGCTGCCCCCAGCTTTTCTTCCAGAAAGATCCCTGCCAAGGCTTAGCCAAGGAGAAAAAAGTAAAAGTTAAAAAAAAAAAAAAAAAAAAGATACACATTCTGTACACAGCTAACAACAACAACAAAAAAAGGGACAAAACCCCACACACTAAGGCTAAAATTACAATAAAAATGTTAACTTCATCAATTCCAACTTAAAAAAAATACAACAAATGCAGCAGTTGGTGGTGTGGCCCCTAGCCCCGACCCAGGGGCCAAAGCCAGGCTCGGTGGGGGCTACTCTACGCCCCGCTGGGAGTCAGGAGATTTGCACAGAACACTGCTCAGGCCACCACGGGCTCATTCTTCCCCCTTTCTTTCTTTCTTCTTCCTTTCTAGCTCTCTAACTGGGAAAGAAGAAGGAAGGGGCAAGGGGTGGGAGTACGAAGGCCGCTGAGACGGGGTTGGACAAAGCTGAAGCCCAGGGTCGGGAGGTGGCAGGATACCCAAAAATAACAAAGGAAAATGGAACCAGATGGACATCGAGTGCACGGGTGCCCTGCCAATCTTCTCGGAGCAGAGGCAGGGGAGGGGAGCTGGGGGCGGGGGGCGAGCCTTTCTTCTGCTTCCATGCTGCAGCCCCTCCCGCCCTTGGCTGCCCCCCCTCAGGACCAAGGTGACAAACTGCAAGAGGCGTGCGGGTGCTGGAAGGCGCGTGCATTCCGTTCTCTGCGTCTCGGCCGCTTCATCCGAAGCGTCTGTCGAGCTCCCTCGAGGGCCTCAGAATTCCAGGCTTGCTCAGCTCCCAGAGGAGGGCACTGGTAAGGAGAAGAGGGGAGGAGGGCACACTTGTCTCACTTGCTCACTGCTCTTCCAGATCTGCCTTCTGCTTCCTCCCACAGCAATGGTAAAATGTGCTTTCTTGAGATTATTTCAAAAACAGAGAGAGAGAGAGAATGAGTGGCGGCGGCCAGTGGCTCCTGAGGGTGAAGTGTGAGCGCCGGGTGGGTAGGATGGGTGGGCCCTGGCAGGTGGCGTTCCTGAAGCAGAAGGGGGGGGGTCTGGCGAACAATCCAGGTGCAGGGGAGCTGCCTCTCACTGACCATCTGCCTTAGATTTCTTTGGAGCGGATTTCCTTGGAAGAAGACAAGAAAAAGGAAATAGAAAGCGTCAGCATGGGTCCTGATGATGCTGGGAAACCACAGGTGGGCCTCACACAAGCTCACACCCTGTGAGCAGAGCCCCCTCCCAGTAGCTGTCTACCCCCAGCCTTAGAAGGTTCCCAAAAGGGGCTTCCTGCTTACATTTCCGGAGAGGACATGGGCCGCTTGCTGGCTGGCTTGGCGCCAGAGCTGTCTTTACTGGTTTCTGAAAGCAAAGACGGAGTGGTAAGCAGCTCGGCGAGGTGGGAGGGCCGGCCGACTTCAGCCACACAGCAGCCCACAGGCCAAGAGAACGAGAGTGGAGGAGACAGGGGCACCCTGCCCACACCCTACAGAGGCCTGTGGAGAGTGACGGCCCCTCCTGTGTGCGCCACCTCTCGCAGTCGCCCTAGGCCCAGGTAGAGGCCCTCAACGGTTCTCCCTGGTCGGCCTCATGGGAACTGGCGTGAAGCCCGACAGGGCATCCTGGGGCGTCCATTTCCCACCCTGCCCCCTGGACTTGGGCGTCACCTTGTACCTCCTACTTGAAATTCGTACAGTCCCCCATCTCACCTCAAAACACCTCTGGGACAGCTTTCCCCAAACCTGCAGATGAGGCGAGGTGCCCCCTACGAGACCCCTCCATAGCACCCACCCTAGGTGATCTCCCTCAACTCCCTCATGTAAAGCTCTCCAGTCCAGCTTGGAGCTGTGTCACCCCACCTCACGTGATGCTTGCCCAAGGAGCCTCCTGAACGATACCCACCTTGCAACCACCTCACTTGGGTGGCCGGGCCATAGCCCTTCTCATTGCGGGCGGCAATGCGGAAGATGATGGCGGGCTTGGTGGTGTAGTCGATGTGGGCGTTGGAGAGGCTGGAGGATTGCACCAGGCAGGAGGGGCTGGGCCCGCAGTACACCCGCATGAAGGCCAGCTGGGCCGGGGTGGAACTCTTGGGCTCACCACCGGCCTGCGAGCTCTGGATGGCCAGGTACACCGAGTACTCGATGATCTTGCCAGAGGTCACAGACGGCGGCTCCCAGGTGAGGTGAGCACCATCTGGACTCTAGAACCAAGGGGCCAGAGGTCAAGCCCTGCTGTCTGTGGCCCTTGTGGCTATCTCACTCTGCCTGTCCAGGAACAGAGGAGCGAGAACACTCCGCAGCTCCCAGATCTGACTGCTGGGACCTCACCCCTGTTCCTGACACAACAGAGCTATTTCACAGCAGATGCAAGGAGCTCTGAGGACATGGCCTCGCCCGCCCCGACCCGGAAGGCAGCCTGACGGAATGACGAAGTAACCTGAACGGGGACTCAAAGCACAGCCTCCCTTCACCTGCTCTGCCACCGACTGTGTGACTTGGCACTTAGCCTCTTGCTGCCTCAGTTTCCTCATCAGATCCCAGACCTCCTCAGGATGTTGAAGGATTGGATAAAAAAACATGTTGAGCGTGGCAGGTAATAGACCCTCACTGAACACTAGCTGCCATGTCAGAGAGAGGGAGGACGAAGACAGGGAGGGGAAGGAATTTACCCTCATCCCATCCCAGCAACTGGTGACAGGACCAGAAGCTGCACCCCAGACCTGGCCCGACAAGAAGGGAGCTCCCAGTGTACGGATTCGGGCTAGGCCTGCTCGACTCCAGCTGGGCACAGGGTCGCCCCACGGCAAGACTCACTTTGCTGATCTTAATGGCACAGGGGGCCCCTGGGAAACCAGGCAGACAGGTCTTAAAGGCTGAGATCTCGCTGAAGGGCCCCCGGCCGCAGGCGTTGATCCCAGCAACTCGGAACTTATAGGCTGTGCCGGGCTGCAGCTCCTGCTTCTTCAGCTGGTTGTAGTCGGGGACGGTGCCCGAGTCATCCTGGGGAAAGAGGCCGGAAAAACAGGAAGAGAGAGAAAAAAAGGTGACCTAAAACCCACTGTCGAGAGAGCAGCTCTGGGGTTGGGCTCCGGGGCCAGCACAGCAGTTTCCCATCCCGGGGACGGGGCAGGAGAGCAGCAATGGCGAGAGAGAACTAGCACTGGGCTTCTTTGCAGCTTCGAGAGCCACGAGAAAAGGAAGTGTGTGCAAAAGGCTCTACACCTGGCTGTCCTCGGGCCAGCCCCAAGATGGAAGGCACCTCTGGGGAGCTTCAGAAGTTCCCACGAGCCCTGGTACCTGCCTCATGGCCAGGATCCACCCACCCGAGGGCGTCGGCTCCCAGGAAAACTTACGTCAGAAGGGACAGCATCATCTGGTGGCAGGAAATAGTGTGTCACCATTACATTGGTACCCTTAATGACCCCCACATCAAACCACTGGTTCTCCTTCTTCACAGGCGCTTTGCTGGGCGGGGGCGGTAGGTCTGGCTTCTGGAAGACGGGACGGAGATCAAACCGTCAGCCTTTGGGGCCCAGAGGCAGCATCCCCTGAAACCCCATCACACCAGACTCACCACACCCAGGGACTCGATGCCATTGGCCACTTCAGTCAGGGTAGCCGCAGCCTGCAGCTTTGCGGGGCTGGCTACCACCACCGGCTGGGGGGCCACAAATGTGTTGGATGGAGCCAGGCCTGTGAAGAAGAAAGACATCAGTGGGAGTGGCCCCAGAGACCTGGCTTCTGTGTGGGGAGCCCTTCCCTTGGGCCAGACTGTACTGGTTATGTCTGTGTGGAAGGACCCAGACGCTCGCCCCCAGACCTTTTCTCCCCAGTCAGCACAGCTCCCGGGGTGGGGGAGGAGGGGGTAGTGCCGGAGGACAGGTGCACGTGGCCGGGGGGGGGGGCCCTCCTGCTTACTCTCAGTGGCCGTGGAGGGCAGCAGGGCCACGGTGCTGGGGACGGCCGCGGCCAGCTCACTGAGGCAATTGCTCTCGATGGTCGGGTCATTGAGGCTGTCGGCAGGGGCCAAGGCCTCGGTGGGGAGGTGGTGGTGCTGCTGCTGGGCCTGCGCCTCTTGCAGCTGCTGCTGCTGCTGGACCAGGGCCGCCAGCTCCTGCTGCGTCAGCACGATGGGGATGGTGGTAGCCTGGCCCTCCTGGCCTTCAGCCGACAGGTGGCCCAGCTCCGCCTGCGTCACAGCCGCCGCTGCCTCGGCCGTGTCCATGGGCTCCCCGGTGCCTGCTCCGGGGGGGGGACACACACACACACACACACACGCTACTCAAGAGGAGTGCCAGCCGGGGTGGCCCAGCCCCACCGCCGCTCCCCTCCTAGCCTAGGGTCCCCTGGGGGCAGCTGGGATGGCCGTGGGCCTCACTTCCTGGCCCACCTGCACCCTGCCCTCCCCATACCAAGGGGCTCTGCCTACACCTTGGATGCCAAGTCCAGCCCAGCCGCTGGGCCCGCCCTCCCAGTCACGTCTAACTCATGCCAGGCTGGCAGGGAGGCTCCACAACCCCCTGTCCTTGCTCCTCCCGAGAGGCCCATCTTCCCCTCAGGGCTCCCGTCTGGCCTGGACTTAAGAAGCTGCGGTGAGCCCCCCCCGCCCAGCACCTACCCATGACGGCCTGCTGTGCGGCCTGGAGCACCGCCTGGATGGCCAGGGCCTGGGCCTCCTCCGTGGCTGCGGCCTGAGCGGCCGCTTCGGCAGCAGCAGTCACCGCCAGCTCCTCAGGGGTGAGCCCCGTCACCATGAGGGTGGTGGTGCCCGCCTGGGCCTCAGCCATCAGCTCCTGGGGAAGGGACAACTGGTCTACTTCAGACTGTGTGGGCGGGGGCGGCTGGACCACCACAGTGGCCACCACAGCTGAGCTGGCAGGCTCCTGGCCCGAAGACGGGTCCCCTGTACTGCTCAGATCCACGGCGGCTTGGAGCTCAGGGGTCTGGGAGGCTGACAGGACCTCGGCGGACTCCCCCATCAGGGGTGTGGAGGCGGGCTGCAGGAGTTGCCGTGGCGGCAGCTGCTGGCGAGGCCCTGGCGAGGCCTGGAGTTCCTCTGGGGGCTGCAGGATGTCAACAGCAGAGAAGGGCATGTCAGAAGTTTCTGTGTTGGCTATGGTCACTGTTATCGTGGCCGGGATGGGGACTTCGGTGGTCAGAGCCCCTGGGGTAGCCTCAGTCATTGATGAGATCTTCTAGAAAGGGAGAGAAGCCCCCGTCAGAGGGGAGGAGAGAGTGGCCAGAGCCAGGCAGCCTTCATCTTTCCCTGGAGACCTGGTTTTTCATTCTCCGTGACCAGCATCACCCCATCTGATGGGGAGGGCAGCAGGTGACTGAGCAGGGGGGGGGGGGGGGGAGGGGTGCGGCAAGATGGGAGACCCTTGGGACCTGGCCGATTTTCACCCATCCTCAGAGACGCATCCTGGTCTAGCCAAAGGGGCACTCCGGCTCCTGCCATGTCACTCCTACAGTTTATAGCCAAACAAGCCACGGGAAACAACTACGGAAATCAAAGCGTCTCCGAGACGCTGGGGCCCAGGAGACCCCTGCCTCCTATCCTATGATGCCCCAGGCTGCCCTTTTACGATCAGGAAGAGGGAAGAGGGAACGAGCAGCGGCCCTGTGCCTGGTGCGAGAGTGACACCTGGTGTCCGAGTCTGGAACAGCACAGGCCAAAAGTGCAGCGGGCAGCAGGGAGGAGACACAGGGGATCCTCCTGGGGCTCTTACCGGCACCGAGGGGCCCGGGACCGGCGTGGACTGTGTCACAGTGGTCACAGCCCGCGTCAGCGTAGAGGACACGGTCGTTGTAACGGCACTGGAGCCGGTGATGTTCACGCTGTCACCCTGGGTGCTCTCCACCTCTCCCTGGTCACTGGCGGCTGGTGGGGGATCTGTAGGGGAGGGAAGCAAGCAGAGAGAAAGGTGACAAGTACTAGGCCAGCAGGGACCTGTGTGTGCGTGGAGAGGGGGGCGTGGGGGGGGGGGCAGCAGCGCAGGTCAGCAGGAGCCCCAGGGCCTCTAGCTTGGCTTTGCGCCACAGGGGACACCGGGCCCCAAGAAATCAAACTACTGGCCTCTGGCCAGGTGGATCTTTTAGTTACCACCCCCTCCTCGGCCTCTGAGCCCTGGGCTCCAGGAGACGACGAACGCCACGAGGGTATCTTCACTCACCTTGGTTCGAGCTCATGTTGGAGGTGACCGTGGTGGCCGTGTGCGTGGTCCCGGTCTCGTGCGTCTCACAGGGGGGGTTGGAGCAGACCCTCTGTGTCGGGAAGGGAGCCAGCAACGAAGCAGCGGCCTGGGGGGCGACGGTGGCCGCTGCTGCCACCTCCAGGCCGGACTCTAGGGTCCTGTGGGAGGGAACGGTATCGGGGAGCAGGGCACCCACACTGACGGACATGGTGGTACCAGTGGAAGTGGTCTGGTGGGTCTCACAGGGGCGGCCGGCAGGGGGCTGCTGCCCCCCCTCGGGCTGGCCCGCACCCCCGCTGGAGGTGGCCGTGGTGGGCGTGTGCGTGGTGCCCGTCTCGTGGGTCTCGCAGGGCGGGTTGGAGCA